TGTTCGTGCATAGAGATACCTGGACGATACTGGAATCGGAAGAGTCGCTTCTTCAAGAAGAGACGATTTTCTGCGCTTTTGGTCATATACTTCTCCTCCAATTTCGTCCATAACTCCTTAACATAAGTTTCCTTCATATACGGATATTTCAACTCCTTATCAAGGAACGATCGAATAGCAGCACAACCATGAAGATTAATTCGCGTCCACTGCTTGTCATCAATATCTTCTGGTTTATCTTCCAGAACCATATCCAACTCTTGTTGATACAACACATCCATAACTTCACATTGCCACATACCAAAATTATTAGAGCCATTGAATTTATCAACCTTTAACCTTGTAGTAGTAGTTGGATGTTTATTGGATGTAGACGAAGACGATGCTGACCCCTTATTTACAGATTCATCTTTATCTCCAGCCACCTACTCGGCACTATTCACAAATACGGCACTGTTCACAGGCACAATTCCGTTCACAGATACTGTAGCAGTTCACTGTTCACGAAATTGTAGCGCCAACACTATTCACGGAACTGGGCTCTGACCACTTGTTGTGCAGAAGCGGCATCCGACTGTAAGTGAAGAAATAAAACAGAACAAAATAAAACCAACACCAACAAGAACACCAAGATTTATACTGGTTCGGCAATGCCTACATCCAGTTTAGAGACGACAAAATATTCCACTATAATCAAATGAGAGAATACAATAGTGTTTAACACTAAAAAAACCCAAGCCCCAAATATACCCAAGCTCACACACTCAAGAATATAAAGGGAATACACATTGAGTACAATTTAGAGGAAAAAAAAAAATAACAAGCCCAACTCTTATTTTTTTTCTTCTCTCACTTTTATCTATGAGTTGTAGCTCTCTCTAAACATCACACTTTCTCTTCTATCTGTGGGTTGCTCCAGCTTCTCCCTTTTAAAGCCAAAGAAAGTGGCTTCTCAAAGAAACCAATGATCAAAAGGCCTCCCATCAGTGTAAAGAAGAAGGCATAAGAGCATCCATTATTGTTTGACTCCCACATGCAGCATGCCAACCAAACAACCATTGTTTGTCTTCCACATGCAGCATGCCAACCAAACAACCACTACCACAAAAAGTAGCCGAAAGTGTTGTTGATTGTTTGAGCCAATAATCAACATGTCTTTGGACCACGAGACTCCAGTCATGTGTGTGTAATAGGGGACGAATAGTCCCTTACTATGTTTTATATATTACACACACACACACACTATATTAGAAAACCAAAACGATGTTGCTTCAACTTCCTCTCTTTTTTTTTAGATAAAAAAAGGTCGTTGTCTTGGCAAGTAAACCGTCGATTTGCCCCTTGAACTATCACCCAACTTTTGATTTCCCCCCTGAACTTTTTAATTGGAAAATTAAGGACTTAAACTCATTTTTTGGCTGATTTGCTCCCTGATGTTAATTTTTCATTCATTCCATCCAAATTATGTGTACAACATGTGTAGGTAGTTCGGTCGCTTCATTATTTAAAATAATTAAAAACCTTAGATTTCTAAAATATAAACCTATGCGAATATGTGTGATTCTATATCTTTGTGTCTGAAGGTCTAGCAAAGTGACGATTGTCCACAAATGAGAGTTATGTGGTTTGCACATGATAAAAGTTAATGTTAGTTTGGATGAAATCTATGAAAAACTAACTGTAGGGGGGAAATTGGCCAAAAAAATTAGTTTAAGTCCTTAATTTTCCAATTGAAAAGTTCAGGGGGAAATCGAAAGTTGGGTGATAGTTTAGCGAGCAAATCGGCAGTTTACTCTTGTTTTGGCATGAGTGCAGCGCACAACTCAGCATCAACATTTAGTGCACGTTCAGAGAATCAATCAGAGGGGCGGATTTTTACACTTGGTGTCGATTTCTGATCGGAAGCCCAGCCACACCCCCTTGCACCTCTATAGCTTCGCCAATAAGTCCCAGGTCAAGGCATAACAGGTTGAATCGTTATTTGGTCAAACTATTAAAAATCATTAACATAACAAATTTAACAAAACACGATATGTTAATATAATTAGTTTGACATGACCATGACAAACACAGCCGTTTGCCAGGTCAATGACATTTAACTGAGATGAATAGTGTTCATTAAATATACGGGTGTCATATTAATCTCCATATGTACAAGCTGAAAACAGAAGCAAAAGCGAAACTGTCCGAAGGAACACACGTGACGGGTGACGAATCTCTCCCATGGCAGAGGAAGGAAAGCCAGATGCCCAACTGTTTCAGCTCCTTTCTGGTCTCCTCCAACAGGTTTTATTATCTTCTCCTTTCCAAATCCACCATTTATTTCTTCCAATTTCGCCTGATTTGATTTGCTTCGCGTTTCTAACTTCTCTTTTACGGTTTTAATTTGTCAAGATTATGAATAGAAACATGGTTCTAATCATCTGTGTGTGGTAGAAAACCGATTTTTGTCTTGATAAATTTATAATCTGGGTGTTTGAGTTTATGGTGTTCTAAGGTGTTCTTACTTCAAATTTCTTTTTTAGAATGTGTTTTACTAGGTGACTTGGGGCTTTTAGTTTTCGCTTGATTTGGATTCTCTTGACGAACCTCTGATGAATTGATAGATATCATTGTTAGCCATGCCATTTGTTGTGTATAAATTGATTCTTGAATGCTTGAGTAATTGGATTCCAATCCCTGCGAGATACCATATTGTGTCATACTGAAAGTAAAATTGAAGACAGTCATGCCAATCCACACTGTTATGCATTGTGATGGCGTAACGCCATGCGAGGGCTTATAGTTCCAGTAGCAGTGAACATTTACCCCCACACTTAAGGCCAGAGTTCGAATTCCCCTTTGACCGGAAGAAAATTACAATGTCTCTTCTGAATGATGTGGTAGACATCTCTTTTGTTTTAGAAAAAGGGACTCTTGTCATGAACATATGTAGGATTCATTTCAACATGATGTCGAATTAAAGAGGTGAGTGGTGAAAGAGATTCTGTATGATGTCAAGCGCTTCATGTTTTTCACACATAAGGTATTGCTACTTAACTGATTGCAAAAGAGGTGACTGAAATCCTGAAGAGAAAATTGAAAAACATAAATAAATAATTATGCATTTGAGATTGAAACTGAGGTACAGTTCCTCTTTCTTTCTGGTAATGATGCAAAATCCTCCTTCTTTTCTTTTGAATTTGAAAACCTAGTAGGAGAGACTGTCCTAGCTTTATCTTCAAAACGTGAATATGATCTAATGGGGTAAAATACCAGGGGGGGATGCCAATCATCATGTACTTGCTAAGAATGGCCAACACTAGTAGCAATATCACTGAATGCTTCAATGAATTTCTGTCTTTTCTTTTTGGGAAAATTATTGATTCATCCCCTTGCTTAACCTTTGAAACTAGTAAGCATATTCTTTTGAGTTATTTTATGACAGTTACACCCGTTTTGTTTGCTAGAGGGTGCATATGTCAGAGTAAGACTGCCCAACTTTAGGATGATGGAGTAAGAATGACTGGCAAATATATTTGTGTGGTTTTTTATGACACTTACAAACTTCCTCTGAGGGTCATGGAGACTATATTAAAGTTTTACAGTTAATATAAAATATTAGAAAAGAACCACTTGTGTAGCCAAATTTTGGGGCAATAGCTGGAAAATTTAGTCAGAGAATGTTTTCAAAGCTCTGTTAGGAGATTGAGTTTGTATATGTGAATGTCGTAGCATGAAAGCCTTGTATTGATGTGCCGTGCGATACGTATATACCTTTTTATCTTTGTTCTTGAATACTAAAAGCATTTGCATAGATGGGATCACAACTATGCTTTTGTCTAGTTCTAATTACACTTTGCCAAATCAGGGTCTGATGTATGTAGTCCTGGTTTTGGAACTACTTTTGTATGCTTGTATGAATGTTTTCCATTCATTTTCCCCTGAGAAGGAACTTTTCTATAACTTATACTGTGAAGGTGGAAGCATTGACCAATGAAGAAGAAGTTGAATTGCGTTCAAAAATCGAAGCCCTTGGATTGGAGGTTACAAAACTTCCGTCGCAGTCAACGCAGCATCTGGACGAGGTAGTTTGAAAATAGATTCTCTTTTCCATGTTTTCCTCATTTCTCCTCAATGTTTTACATTTTCAGAAACAAAACAATCATGAATTCTATATATGAAATAAATATTTAAGGTCTTTTCTCTATTGGTGTATATATCATCTGATCAGCTGGAAATAGCCAAGGAGTTGGATAAATTATCGGCAAAGTTGGATGATGTAGATGAGATGATTTCTTCAGCGATGGCTGCAGATCCCCAGGTGAAGTCACTGTTGAGTGGTACTGCTGATGTATGGATGCCAGTTATTACTGCCACTGCTGATGAACGACGGAATTTTACAACTTCAGTGGCAGATGATAGCCCAGAAGCAAAAGAGAGAAGTTCCAGTTAGCTGTTGACACCTTCCAACATTGGGAAGAAAAGTACCACTAGAGATCAATAGCTAGCTGGTGTGCATGTTTGTTTTCTCGTCTACTCGTTCCTGTTAAATTTCAGATTCTTCAGCTAACAGTGTCAGGATTTTGTTGTGTATTGAGCCCATCCTAATAAGCGTTTAAGTAAATACCATGCCGATGAGATGCCAGTTCTACATATTCCTTATTATATTCAACAAAACCCATAAAATCGTGGATTTATTTTGGTGCTTGTAGCATTACTCTTTTTTGTTGGGTGCTTAAAGACGACAGCAAATTCAGATGATCATTTTCGAGCCAAAGCTGAATGAGAAATGAAAATAAATAGGTTATCCTTCCCGAGTTGTTTGTAATATGATTTGAGAGATGTAGATAAAGTGAAATGTATTCCGGTTGTATGTAAGAATTTCTTCATTGAGGCTTCTTATGAGCCGTCATTGGTTCGGCTCATTGTATCCCCTTGATGCAAGAAATTCATACAAGTCAAGACGGCCTCTACAGATAAACTGGCAATGATAAACCCAATCCTCAGCAATACTCAAATCAATACAATTCCAAATTCCAATCATATGAAAGATCATAATGTCTCTGCAGCCTTCTCTATTAAACTTATGAAATAGAATATTTATTTAGGAGGACCCGAGGACAATGCCAAAGCTATAAAATGCATAGTGACAAAAAAAACCAATGCACCAAGATAGAACTGATGCAAAAACAAACACGACAAAAAACACGATAAGCCTTAGAAGTCCATCCAAAATGGTTAGCAGAGAAGCGCCTTGGGCAGCATCATCCTTTTCAACCGTGCCCGATTTATCTTTGATCGAATCTCCATAGTCATACAAAGGAGGGTTTGCGTTTTTTGATGCAGACACAGCATGCCATCTTTCCCTTATTTGCAATCTCAAAACACTCGTCTTGAACCTGATTAGAAGAAAGAAAGAAAAAAAAAAAAACTCTTAAAGTTTAAGGATACTTAACATCATCTATTATTGATCTTGACGTTAACTTGAACCATTCAGAATTTACAAAAAAGATTAACATGCATGCAAATACAGTCTACGAAAACAACAATCATATTTTCGACTTGTTCTTCAGCCAACTAATCAAGCAAACAAGAAATCTCAAGTCAGAAGACTCAGGAGGTGAAAACAAAACAAATCCAGAAATTCATGTACCTGAAATTGACAGGCGCTGATTTAACGGCACTGAGTTTGAAGGCGTGAGTGATCGGAATTTGAGGTTTTGCAGTAGGAAGATGCAATTGGGATGGTCTTGCTCCCGCTCCTGCTGCCACGACGGATGTCATGTTCGTCATGTTTCAATCAAACTGTGAAACTCTCTCAAACAAACGGAAGGTGGCTTTTGGTTGAAATAAAATATACAAGTGGGGAGAAACAATAAATAGAAAAAATTAACAGAAAATCAGTGTGCGGAGTTTACTTGGGGATAAAGCCAAGTTTCTCCAATTACATAAAACTAAATTATTAATCTATATTTTACTTAACAAACAACACTCCTCTTTTTTAAATTCAAAGAAGGTAAAATTTTAAGTTTTGTCCTTATTTTGATAAGAAGTCTTAATAATTACTTTTAAAATAATGAACATTATATTGAAGGTGGAACCAAATATTTAAGTTGAGAGTTTAATCTACTTATTTTTTTTTTGTTTTATCAATTAATATTTTGTTTCATGTAACTAAAATTATTTAAGTTGAGAGTTTAATCTACGGTAAGATTAATATGAGAGTTCATATAAGAAAAAGAACTTCACAAGTACTCACAATGAGGACCTTTGGGAGCAGCTCTCATGATTTCAATTAGATTATGAATCTAATAGGAAAGGGGATTCTATTTGGAATAGAATTCCGTATTGAATTAGGTTTCGTAATTTTATTGAATTGTTGAATAGAAGTAATAGGAAATCAATATCCTATTATGACTAGAACTGTGATGGAAAATTGTTTCCATATCCAAATTAGATTCTAAAAGTTATAAATCCTATTTAAAATATTATTTCCTAGTCGAATTAAAAAATTTAATTGTTGTAAATTCTCTTTTGAGTAGTGGGAGCTAAGATGGAGACCAAGTTGGACTTGGATCCTAGCCTTACAAATTTCGGCATACCCTACCGATACCAGGGCCGAAATATGTGGTACAATTTTGGCCCAGTGACGCGTCCACAAAACCTAATTAATTGAATGCATAATTAGAATGAGAATTTGTTTTTTTATTTAAATTTAATTGCTGAATATAAATATAAGGATGATTATGGATTATACTATATAATGAAGCTATGTGATTGGCCGCTATAATATGCGAGTATGGTTTGGCCTTGTATGTTTTGTTCTTAATTTTGAATTTTCCTTCAAATTTAATTAAATGGGGCTTGCATCCCTCCTCCCTATTTCTTTTTCTTTAAAAAGGGGGACAACTGATGATAAGTCACGGTTATCCATCCATTCTAGGGGCAGGAAGACTCATAGAGGCATTTCAACCTCTATTTTTTGGTGTTGTAATCTTCAATCTTCCTCCTTATCAAACTCCCCTAATCCTTCGGGATTAAGTTTTTACTTAAACATATGATGTATGGAGTTAGATAGTTAGCTTGGAAGGAAGATTTGAAGATGATCCTGAGAAGAATTAAGAGAAAAAGGCACGGCCCCAAGGCTAGCTTTGAATGAATAGTGATTATATTTTTTTTGCTTGCTTGTTTAATTTTATTTGAGGAAGTGATGTTAGAATTAACAACAAATCACCCCGCCTAGACCATAACCAGCTCCTTGGGTGCGTTTGGTACGTGGGACGGGACGGGACGGAACGGGACGAGGCGTTCCGTCCCGCGTTTGGTGTGCCAAAAATGGGTGGAACGGGCTGTTCCACGGGACAGATTTTGGGTGTTTTTGCGTCCCACCTCTCCCCCCTGGAACAGGTTTGTTCCACGTCTGTGGAACGCAATGTTTTACCATTTTAAGACAAATATACCCTATGTCTTTTTCAAAAATTACACCTTCATTCCGTCCCGTTCCGTTCCGTTCCGTCTGCGTACCAAACGCACCCTTAATCCACACGATGCGATGTCATCAGATCCTTTGTTTGAAATTTCGTTTAAGACAAATATGTATAAAACCTGTAACAAAAACCCTCACCAATTATTATTGAATTTGAAAATTGTTCTATTCGTGGCCTTCCCCGAAGTGCGTAGTCACTATAGAGGACTGCCCTAAATGCTTGCCATGGTGGGAGATTTAGGGACTCCAATCCAAAGGACTGGCTAATGCATACGTATTGACGTTAGTGTTGAGGAATATTTTAAATATGACTACTGTGGTTGCTTGAGATTTATTTAAGGTTCAAATTCCAACAAGGCACTATTTGTTGGGTAACAATTAAATTAGGATTAGTTGTAAAAGCAATTTAAATTAGAGATTAGAGGCCAAACATAATTGGAGCATGCATAACATGCATGGGAGTAACATACACTCTCCTGAATGGGCGTGATAGAATGATTAGTTGTTCATGCGGTTTTTAGTCTGCCGTTGCCAATCCCATGTATGCAAATGGTCCATGCCTAGTGGGAGCAACTCCCGATTTCGTAAAGGCTTAATTCGAAATCGATAAAATTAGATGGGACAACAATTAAAATAAAGATCCATTTTAATCCGAATATAACTTTCGCTAATTAAAATTTTGTTTTGTTTTCTATAGACAAGAATCTTTGTAATAGCTTTAATTCACCATTAAAACCCGATAACCAAATGATTGAACTAAGAGGCAAAGGACTTCTTCTAAGGAAGAAATTGTTTTAGAACTTGGGGCAAATTTCGATCCACACGTCCTTGCTATTTAGATTATACGATTGCGGTGAATTCTATCCAACCATGTATACTTGATTCAGGGGTTAGCTATCATGTGTGCAATACGTTACACGACATGAGGTGGATAGAAACCTAAAACCAGGATAACTGTGCCTAAGAAAGAAGAATGGTTTCGTGCTTTTGTGTGTGCTACAAGCATGCATGTTTAGGGCTTTCCAATGGCAAAACTCTTCAACTAAAAGAGTGCTATTTCATTCCGACGTGTATTTATAATAGGGAGCTTTAATAAAAAGGGCTTGAACTAAGTTTATTTTAACCAAAAACCATCCTATAACTTTTTTTAACCAAAAACCATCCCAGAACAAAGTAAAACCCACCAAACCAACAGACAGCTCGACCACCAGCCAGTCACTCATGGGCTCTCCTTTGGCCCTCATCCTCCTCCTCCTCCTCCTCCTCCTCTTTGTCTCGCTGAGTACTACAACTTTCCTTTTTGAATCACCCTATTTCATTGAGTATTGAAAAAGTTATATCCATTTGAATCTTACCTAGTTTCTGGCGACCTCCGAGGCTTTCGAGGCATTTTTCGGCCAAATCACAATAAGTTAGCCATTGTGCGAGGTACCATTCTCTTCGTCTCTTCGAGAACTATGATTTTCGTTTTTGAATCACTCGATTTTGTTGAGTATTGACAAAGTTATGAGAGTTAAAGTTTGTCCAACTTTTGAGCCGAAATTCTGCCTTCCCTTCCGTTTAGCTCCGGCGAGCAACAACCACACCAAGCCCTTTGGGCTGTGCACAAACAAACACTGTATCTGGAAAGAAAAGAACCAAAATCCAGAAACAGTGACTTAAATTTCAGAAACAGTGACTTAGATTTCATAAACAGTGTTACTTAAAATCCAGAAACAGTTTATTTTTACATTCCAGAAACAGTGCCCGTCGTTCTTTTTGAATAGCATGCAGATCTCAAATATTTTTTCTGGAGAAACAAATGATGAACTTCACTGACGAAGAAAAATTGAAAAACAGTACTTCGAATACATTATGAATAATAACGACGATCACATTTCAACGAAATAATACAAAATATAAATTAAATAGCATGAGGATCTATATTTTTGTTTCAAAGAAAAAGAAGAAGGTTTGCAACTACATCATTTGAAAAAATTGCAAAACCCAAGAAAAGAAAGGAGAAAGACTAAAATTTATAACATGGTTTTTTATTAAACAAAACTTATAACATGATTTTTTATTAAAACTAAAACTTATAACATGGTTTTTTATTAAACAAAACTTATAACATGGTTTTTTATTAAAACTAAAATTTTTCAAGTCCTTTTCATTAATTTTCCTTTTATAATATTGTGTCGATCCCATTTGTAGATTTAAATGGACACTTCATAAATCATGATGATTCGAGGTGTGACATCACATTTAAGAATTAAATAATAGGTAATATTACCTAGTGACATGTTATATTCTTCAACTAGAAGGTGGGATACACACTACAAGTGACAATAATGTCAGTGAGAGCAAACGACCTCGCGAAAAAATCAGTACACGCAAATTGTGGCATTTGTGTTTAGGCTACATAAGCGAGAAGCGCTGGGATGTTTTGGCCTCACAAGGTGCTCGGGCTTCAGTTTGCCTAGGCTAATTTGGTTGTGCTAGAAACTGTTTTTCTAATTTTAGAGCTAGATTACCAATTGACCTAGGCCATAAGGTCTTCATTAAACATGGCAATGTGCTCTGACGGCGATCCACAAGGTCCATGGAGGACTCTTTGACAGAGGAAACTTTTGAGCTAATAGAGAGTATCCAAGTCTTAGACCATTACTTGGAGCAATGTCTTGGGCAAGCAAATGAGATACTTTCTAACTCTTTTCAATTCCTTCCTTTTATTTGCACTACTAATCACACCAATACTGTTACAATTTTACTATCTGCATTCACATCAGGTGTTTGATTTTATCACAAAAGATCTTAGTACAACTAAGAGTACTAAAACCGTTCAATATAAATTATAATTTATTATGTGAAGATTCCGGTGTGAGACTCTATTCTCTGACATCTAGACCTTTCATAAAACAGAGGCCATGACCAAAGTAAAAGGGAGGCTTTCTAGCTGCCCGAAGACCCTTTTTTTTTTGGGTAAAGCCCGAAGACCCATTTTGTCTGCTACAAGCTAGCACCATAGCAGCAAAAACCCAAACCTTTCTCCTAATTCCTATCTTCTAGCCACCAACTACCATAATTACAGATTTTCCAGCAGCTGCATGCATTTATAAAACTCTTTCTCCCAGTTGCTCAAATTTTCGCCGACGACCTGAGTAGACGCAATAATTTCATCGGGTATAGAATTTTAAATCTATTTCTTAATTATCCTCTCTTTTTTCCACAAAGGATAGAAGTACTCATTACGTACACCTAAATTAGGTAGTTCAAGTTCAACTACTAGCTCTATGAAGAATCATATCACATATGCTAGAACTTCATATATGTAACTACCACTTTAGTATAAGTCAATGCTCTTAGGCAGCTTATACTA